ATTCTTGAGTTGATGCCGAAGGATCTGGATCCATGGAGTGCCTTTCTCGTTTAGTCTATGATAATTGTTTTCTTAGCTGTGGGAAGGTTTTGCCACGGTGCATTTTGCAATGATCTCACTGGAGATGCACATCCACCCACATGACGATTGTTCTCAACAAAAAATTCTTCGATGGAGGGGGTGGGGTGGGGCTAGTTCCAGTCTGGACAGCTGGCACAGTGGACATCATGGGCTTATCTGAGCTCTTATACCTTGGCTTTTTGGACTCTGCAGTTAGGGCAACCAATGATAAGACAGTACGTAGAGTGGAAGGTACCACTAGAAACTCTTTAACATTAGTAAAACCGAAAAAAAAAGACTCATCTTTAGTTCCTTCTAGTTCAGCAATAACTACGGATCAGATTTCTACAACAAAAGTAATACAGTTAACTGATTGGTTCAAAAAAATGAAGAAAATCAGAAGGGTTAAAAATTTGATCTTGAATAGAGAAAGTCAGCATTAAAAATACAGGGTTAAAAAATTCCCAATGTTCAGAAAAACTTGGTCAAGAATGTGAGTTGAAGTCGTAATGATCCGGTTATGAAAATACCTTGTCCTGGAATAGGCATCAGGATGAAGTGCAAAAAAACACCAAAAATAAGCCTGTGGTCAAGTTCAATTTCTACCTGCTTACATCTGATCATACTACCTGCAGATTGCAATTGATGTAGGCATCCTCGGGCCACGAGCTTGACCAAAACCTTAGCCATCCTCGGCCTTCCAGCTTGACCAAAACCTCTGGCTTTTCCTAAGCCTTAGCTGTTCTTTCCTAAACGGCCGCGTCAGAGACCCTAAGGTTCAGGCATAGCCGTCCCTGATTTAGAACTGCTGACTACACTGAAGGCAACAAGCCAGCAACATTCGCCGCCCACAGGGCTACTCTTAACCAATTAGCAGGAGTAACTGTCATTCCTATAACATGCCCACAGCAGGCTCGAACTATGGACATTCCCATCCGCAGTCCGGAACACCATGCACTATAAAATGCAAGTGGGGTTAGAAGAAAACACCATACACTGAAACCGCAGAAAGTTCTGTGAAATTTAAAATGTTATAAAATCCAAATTACACAGTCGTTCTTCTAAACATATGTTCCTAATATTGACCCCCCCCCTCCCTCAGTGGCACAGTGGGTAGTCTGAAGGCTTATAACGGTTTCGTTACCCGTGGTTGGCACATTACAGAGAGCCTTTATGCTTAACTCCAAACAACAAATCCTAATATTCATGAAAAACTTAATGTGTTTTTCAATGAACTTTATGAAAAAATAAAACACGAAAACAAATAATTTTGAAGAATTTGAGCCCCTTCATAATTTTTATTAAGATGACAAGTGGTATTTAAATAACATTTTAAAACTATATAATCCAATATTTCTAATTTGAAACGCAATTGATGCGCCACTTGTCGGCCAAAAAGTCAACTACGTGCATATCCAATTCTAAATTGTACTCAGGTTTCTTAAAACACATTATCGTGGTTAATACATAATATAATCATATTTTTTGTCTGTGTGCTTATAAATCCTTTCGTAAAAATTGTAGTTTACTTTCTTAAATAATTTCGAATTCAGGCAGGTTTGTATTCGAATTTTCCTTCTTGAAAACATTCCAGAATAAGAGAGCGCAAGTTTTGTCGTTGTTAATTGAGAGAGAGTGTTCGATGTTATGAATAAGGACACTCATAGCTTAGTATAAAGTTAGTCTTGGAGATCAGCTACAATGTCATTCATAGGCTTAAGTGCATCGAGTATTGACAACTGTGCGCATCCTCAGGAATGGAAAAGTGTCCCCCCGACCCCAATAGGCGATTCAGCTCAGCTGGATACTTCTAGCTTCTATCCCACCCCTAACACACACACACAGAGACACTTAGAAATATATCCAATACCATAGCAGAAATGGTTCTCTCTTCCAAGTTTGTAGTTACAAAGAAAATATATGTAATGTTCCCTCTAGAAATAAAGTGAAATAAAGTGAGTTCTGTCGTCATACTTGAGGTCTATCCTGTCGCTCTTTTTGGCGTAATATTAAAAAAGAATGTGCATAATTTCTTGGAAATTTATCAAAGATTTTCAGATATACACAGAGTAAACTGTATTTTATATTAGTGTCGTCCTTAAAAAGCGGCTTATGTTTTAAAATTGTTTTACTTTGTGTAAAATAGAATAGTTCAATAAATCTAACTTTGAAACTTTTTTCTATATATATTTACCAGTTTTTTTTTCCAAACAGAATACTTATAAATGCTGATTATGAGTTGAAAATGTCGGAAACAAGTGGATCGTTCTTTTACAACTGTGTATAATTTATCCATGAAGTAGGGGTGCACACCTTATGATCAATATGTAATGAGTAGTATCTAGTAGTTTTGCCATAAATTAAAAAAGATACAAATACACTAGCACCTACTTGTGGTGTTTGGTGTTATGACATTACAAATATACTAGCACCTATTTGTGGTGTTTGGTGTTATAACAGTACAAATACACTAGCACCTACTTGTGGTGTTTGGTGTTATAACAGTGCAAATACACTAGCACCTACTTGTGGTGTTTGGTGTTATAACAGTACAAATACACTGGCACCTACGTGTTGTGTTTGGTGTTATGACAATACATATACACTAGCACCTACTTGTGGTGTTTGGTGTTTTGACAATACAAATACACTAGCACCTACTTGTGGTGTTTGGTGTTATGACAATACAAATACACTAGCACCTACTTGTGGTGTTTGGTGTTATGACAATACAAATACACTAGCACCTACTTGTGGTGTTTGGTGTTATACAATACAAATACACTAGCACATACTTGTGGTGTTTGGTGTTATAACAGTACAAATACACTGGCACCTACTTGTGGTGTTTGGTGTTAAAACAGTACAAATACACTAGCACCTACTTGTGGTGTTTGGTGTTATAACAGTACAAATACACTAGCACCTACTTGTGGTGTTTGGTGTTATAACAGTACAAAAGTGTATTTGTACTGTTATAACACCAAACACCACAAGTAGGTGCTAGTGTAGGCACCTACTTGTGGTGTTTGGTGTTATGAACTCCATGTTGCACGTTGTGCTTTATCCACTGTCTGATGTCATCCACTTATTGATACGAAATTAAAAACGTTCCACAAAAACGAAACACGAGGGTTAAATTTGGTGAATTTGGAGGCCATAGAATTTAGTCTTGACGCCCCCACCGAAAATCATAACAAACAAATTCCATCTATATAACAGTAGTCCTGTCTACCAAAATGGTGAACGACTTTCAACTAATGTAAAAAAAAAAAAATCACTGTGAGGAAAATCTAGAAAATATGATCTTTGACCTCTGAGGATCTTTGTATTGAGTTCTTCTGAAGCTGCTTGAACTATTAAATGAAAAGCAAAAATATTCTCTTCCATGCAAAATATGTGAAACACGACCTTTGACCTCGGAGGATCTTTGTATTGAGTTCTTCTAAAGCTGCTTGAACTATTAAATGAAAAGCAAAAATATTCTCTTCCATGCAAAATATGTGAAACACGACCTTTGACCTCGGAGGATCTTTGTATTGAGTTCTTCTGAAGCTGCTTGAACTATTAAATGAAAAGCAAAAATATTCTCTTTCATGCAAGATATGTGAAACACGACCTTTGACCCTGACTGTTAATTTCAAATATATATATAATTAAACTAAATAATTTTAATGTACAGTTTTAAAAGTTTTACGATTCAAGTTATTATGTGAAATTTGGCCTAAACTTCTCATTATGGACAAGTAACTAATCAAGCTTAAACAAGTTACGTACGAGTAATATAAGGGATTTGAAGTAAAAAAAACCTCTTCATCTTTTTTTTTTACGCTGCAATGAATATATGTTTTAATTCTGATTTGATAAGTTCTTTTGAAGAGGTGAAGCGGGTGAGACCTTGCTACGAAACTGTGAAGCATAGAAATGTGTAGTGTGTATTACGAAACTGTGAAGCATAGAAATGTGTAGAGTGTGTTGCGAAACTGTAGATCATGAAATGTGTAGAATGTGTTACGAAACTGCGCAACACACTCTACACATTTCTATGCTTCACAGTTTCGTAACACATTCTACAGATTTCATGATCTACAGTTCCGTAATACAAACTACACATTTCATGATCTACAGTTTCGCAACACACAACACACACTACACATTTCTAGGCTTCACAGTTTCGTAACACATTCTACAGATTTCATGATCTACAGTTTCGTAATACAAACTACACATTTCATGATCTAAAACTGTAGATCATGAAATGTGTAGTGTGTATTACGAAACTGTAGATCATGAAATGTGTAGTGTGTATTACGAAACTGTAGATCATGAAATGTGTAGAGTGTGCTACGTAACTGTAGAATATTAAAATATGTAGAACGTGTAGTGTGTTTGAAATTCGGAATATATCGACATATAGTGGGTTAATAATCCTGCGTCAATTTTGACTTTAGATCTAATTAAGGCAATCTTTTCGAAAACTCGAAATTATCTTGACAAATGTTTATCTTTCGAATAATCAAAGAATCTAGTTTTTTTTCCAGAATTATCATGTATTAAAAATATAATTCGTTCATTCGCACTAGCGTTAAACACATAAAAAAAGTTGTTTGAACGCTTTTGTTAAACAACTTAGCTTTTTAAAGCAAAGCCACATTGGGCCAGATGTTGCGTCCACCGCGGGGAATCGAACCCCGGATTTTGACTTTGTAAGTCCGTAGACTTACCGCTGTCCTATCGTAGGAACTATTTTGTTTTAAAGATAAAAAAAATTAAACAAAAATACAAACACAAATAAGCGGAAATTAGAGTCTAAATAAGTCTAATTATAAATGTACTTCATAAAACAGGAAGTTAGCATACATATCGTCTGAATAAAGAAGTTTACAGTGTTGCTAAGTGATCATTCGCTCGCTGTTTTCCCTCGGATACACACAAACTCTGCACGTGCTTGTTTACACTAGAAAAACGAAATTACAGATTAAATTACACGATACGAGCTTGGGAACCCGAAGAAAGTATATACCAGCTAGTACAAAGGTTTGTCGTTTCGCTGAAAAAAAAGAAAAAGAAGGATACTCTTCCTTCAGCTGTGAATACTCACGGTATCACGTGATTTATATTTACCACATTCTCACGTGACGCGGGCACGTGATCGAAGACGAAAAAACTGCTAGCCTTGTAGCAGTACGTCTAGTAACGACGTAACATAACTGTCACTTGACCAAAGAACTATATTTAGAGCATTCTACGTAGTTAGGAAGATATTCTGGACGTTTGTCGTAGTGCGAAGGCAAGACGAGGTTGCTTTACTCTCCGTTATTACATAAATTACTATTAATTGTAAGAGATTTGTCATTCGTCCTTATCCTACGATAGACCAATTTCCTTAATATAATTTCGAATTACCGTCTATCTTCATGTGCTTAGTAGGTCGCTGTTGGTTGGCAACAGATAACGCAGCCAGGTGGCTGTACTAGTTGAGTAAACAGGTGTGTCTGCCTTTACGTCGTGTAATTTACAAACCCGTACTGTTACCTAGTTTATGATATACGTTGGAACACTCGCTTTAGAAAAAGGTGTGTTGTTATAATTGCGAAAGTCTGCTCATCTGTTGACTGACTTTAGCTGGCAGAGTTTCCAGTTGTGATCTGGTTGCTTGTAACAAGAGAAGATAAATTTTGACATGGAAGATTTCGATAAAGATTCTCGTAGACACCAGAACCCTAGCGGATACAGCTTAAGTGGTGAAGCATTTACTTTGAAATTATATAATTATAGATAAATTTGTATATATATGACGATTCTGGAATTTAATAACTTTATTCGGCTCGAAACTGAAATGATTAAATATATAAATAATTAATTGTAAGTTATTTCTATGTAGTGGTGTCGATCTAGTACAGCATTTAAAACCGATAGATTTAATATTCGCGATAAAAGCCCGCCACATTTGACTGGTAAAACTTTCTTAACTTGTCCATAAAGGGTTGCAAATCAAGTCATAGTTCAGCCCAACTGATGAGTTCTGGTACTAAACGAAAGACCTTCTGGGCAGTTGCTTGTGACAGGCAAAATGTAGATATGAAAAAAAGCTAGGCTCGGCATGGCCAGGTGGTTAGGGTGAGCTCGACTCGCAATCTGCGGGTCGAGGGTTCGAATCCCCGTCCCACCAAACATGCTCGCCCTTTTAGCCGTGGGGGCGTTATAATGTGACGGTCAATAACACTTTTCGTTGGTAAAACCCCCACAGCTGAAAGAGCGAACATTTTTGGTGACAGGATTCGAACTCACGACCCATATTTTCGTGTTTATAATTATCTACGCGTCTTCTTTTATCTTTTTATAGTTGTAGGGATTCGGGATTAATTTAGGTGCAGTATGCTTAAAATTCTCGTGTACTATAAAGTGCTTCCACACGGAATATTGGAAGAAATTAAGATTTCTAAAGTGTTCGCATCTATGAGTATTTCTAATCCAATTATTAATAACATTCTAAATACACCCATCATCACTGTGTGTGTAAGTTGTTTAATTTAACTGTGTTTTGAGTACACATTGTATTTTAGTCTCCCATATCGGTGTGCAAACCGCGATGTTAGGCTTAACATGATGTTTTATTATAGGACTAAGGAACAGTGAGTAATATTAAAACTGTATAATGCAATAGTGTCACATCATATAGAATATTGAGTCCAGTTCTGGATATTACTACCTTGAAAGAGTAAAAAAGAAGAACAATCAGAATGAGTACCAGTATTTAAATGTATATCATGCAAGGACAGATTAAAAAAATATATAAAATTTTACTCTGGAACCAGAAAAGAGTTTGTTGAGATTTAAGTGAAGTACTTATTTAGAGAAAGAGTTGGGAGCGTACAGAACAAACTGCTAAATCACACAGTCGCTCCTTCAATACATATCTGGATAAGATCCTTGATTCGACCAACTACTAACAACCCCATGAATAACATGGACTCTTATTTGTAACGTTTCTTACTGAAACTAGGACCTACTTTTATATTTGTTATTTGTTTATGGACGGCTTTACCTAGCTGCCAATAAACCTCTCCAAAGTGTGAGAAGTACTTTGAGAGTTTGTCAAATAAATTTTGATAGGCACACAGTTAATAAACGCTTGAGAGTGGCTTGCAGAATCAGGTCTGTAATCAGGTGTTTATCAATGTCAGGCCTAATGAAAATAGGATGTATTAGCCTTCCATAACATTGTATACACCTCCATACCAAAGAAAGCTTTTCTGAAACCAAAACCACTTCAGTGCCTCCACACTCAAGAAAGCTTTTCTGAATCCAAAACCACTTCAGTACCTCCATACACAAGAGCTTTTCTGAAACCAAAACCACATCAGTACCTCCACACTCAAGAGCTCTTCTGAAACCAAAACCACTTCAATACCTCCATACCCTAGTCTATCAGCTCAAAATTAGAAACGTCTAGCGTAGATAATCTTAAAGTGTCTTTGTGCAAACGTCCAAAACATAAGAATGAGACAAAAGGAATAAACAGCTTAATTAAAGTATTCTTTGAAGTGGTTTTGGTTTCAGAGAAGTTGTCTTGGGTATAGAAGATTTGAAGTGGTTTTGGTTTCAGAAAAACTTTCTTGCGTATGGATATTCAAGTTATTTTGGATTCATAAAATATATTTTGCGTATGAAGGTATTGAAGTGCTTTTGGTTTCAGAAAAGCTTTCCTTTGTTGGCGGTGGAGTGGGCGATGTTGACTAGCTGCCTTCCCGCCAGTCTATCTCTGCTATCTTAAGGACGATTAGCGCAGATAGCACTCGAACGAACAGTATTCCGAGAACTCTCACCCAGGATATAGAATTGACTCCCCACAACAATTTATATTCTTTTTAGTAGAATAATGTGTCTGTTATTACACTTGATACTTTTGTCTTTAGGGAATCATTTCAGGAAATAAGAATTCACGCTATTATCAGACGTTGATAATACGCGTATGTATGATATGGATATTGCTGGTCCAAGGCCCAACACATAAATGAAGAGGATTTCTGAATAACCAGACATTGCGATAACCCTAAGATTAAATAGAATATATTTTGTCCTCACTGATATCATATATAAACAGTTTGGTATATAATATAGTTTGATGTTATTTTCCAGAATAAGTAAATATAATCGCAAAAGAGTTTTCGAAATATTCCTTAACTCTGAATGAGAGGACATAGAGATGGGCAAGTACTGTCCATTGACTCTGCCCTTGCAGACAATTATATTATATTATATTGGTTAGGCGTGGCCCAGTGGTAGTGTGACGGACGTTGGATTTGCAGGTCCCTCATTTGCTTCCCATTACTGCAAAAAAAAAAGGGGGGTAAGGATGAAATCCCACTATTCGGTCAAACATTAGTTGGTGGTGGGCGATGTTGACTAGCTGCCTTCCTTTGAGCTATGTCCTTAAGTTAGCAGAGATAGACTGGCGGGAAGGCAGCTAGTCAACATCGCCCACTCCACCGCTAACATATGAGCTATGTCCTTAAGTTAGCAGAGATAGACTGGCGGGAAGGCAGCTAGTCAACATCGCCCACTCCACCGCCAACATTTGAGATATTCTTTTCCATTGAAAAGTGGGATTCATCGTCATATTATGAAGAACTCACAGTGATGGGATTCAAACCCGCGACCTGTAGATTACCACTCGAGAGCTCTAACCACAACACGATGCCAAGCCTGCCTCAGAACAGTAATATTTGTGTGATATCTACATATTGTATATACGTTAATTTCCTGAAACTTCCCAATTTTAGGAATAGCTCCCTAGGCAGTACAACATTGACCATTCCATTCTATTAAAGGGAGCCTAAAATATTTATGAAAGTTAATTTTGTGCCCTGGGGGCAGGGAACCTCGGTATGGCATTAACTACGTAAAGCAACTATTAATTCTTTGTGAATTTTTTGATGAGAAATATGTTTTCTTTCGCCGAATTTTCCAGAACAAAACAGTATCTCATTTAAAAAAAAAATCTCAATCTCGGTAGTAATGGAAAAGTACTTAGGATTTTATTTATTAAGTATATAAATTTTCATTTATCGTTCTGTGTTACTTTTCTATAACAAAAAAGGCGCCTGTATTATTTACACATTAAATCTCTTTTTTTTAAAATTCCCCTTAGGGAAGTGTTTGTTTATTGTGAACCGATGATGCAACTGGTGTTATAAAAAGTCGATTGTTAACATCCGGTGTTCGATTCCCCGCGGTAGACAGAATGTAGAGAGCGTATTGTGTAGATTTGCGCTAAAATAACAACAATAATAATCTCTGTAATGCTGAGTTTCCGTTCCTGTTTCCGGGTTTTTCTCAGTACCTATATATATATGTGTGTGTGTGTATTTTTCAAGTTGTGTTGTTGTTTTATATTTTGTACTTATGTATGATAGTAGTGAATTTTGCTGTAATTTATTACTTATAATAACGGAATTGTTTGAATTGAACAACAATAACCAGAATTAGTAATTTAAAAAATTTTTCCCACAGCTGAATCCGGTGAAAGGCAGGGAGTATGTGCCTTCCTTCTGACAGGAGTCTCCATATTATTGATAATCGTTACTTTTCCATTCTCCTTCTTATTCTGTATTAAGGTAAGACATTCTTGAACTTAATAAGGCATAGTAATTATAGCTTCAGATTTACAGACACGCGCTTATGAGTTTCCGCAAAAAACTGTAGTATTTAATCCAGGAAATGAGATAAAATGAAGTACGGATCTTCAAGAATCAGATGTTATTGTATTCGTATTATCTAGAACTTTCAATATAAAACAAACAAACAATAGCTTGTCCATCTTGGTCTTATAAAAAAGTGGATTGTGCCGCATCTTTGAAATATTTCATCGAATAAAACGTTAAAATTCGGGGCTCGATACCCCCCGCGATGGACTTTGTTTATAATTGAGGAAAAAGTTACACAATGGCCTGTCTTTGCTGTGCCCACCACGGTATCGAAAAACCTTTTTCTAGCGTTGTAAGTCCACGGACATGCTGCTGTGCCACTGGGGGAGGGGGCAAATATCCCTTATAATGGGAGCTTGACAACCTTTTTTAAATGCCCTAAATTATGTAGTTAAGGTGTTTATGAATATATTGCTTTAAGAATATACTATCTCTTTTTTTTTTCACTTTTCGTTTCTAATTTAACCACCAGGTTGTCCAGGAATACGAGAGAGCTGTTATATTTCGTCTGGGTAGACTACTCAGGGGTGGAGCCAAGGGTCCAGGTAGGTGTTGAGTAATTTTCAATGGGTCCTAAATTTTTCGTAGTGTCAGCAACTAGTACTTGTGCTACTGAACCTAAGAAAGTGAAATAAAAGCAGAGAAGATGTAGGGAAAAAGATTTGTATGAAGAGAGTATATAATTATGAAAGAAATATTGCGAATTTAGAACTTTAAGTGATGTGACAATTTTTAAAGTAAGCACTATGTATAAGTACGCTAGAAACCGGGTTTCGATACTCGTGTTGGGCACAGCACAGATAGCCCATTGTGTAGCTTTGAGCTTAGCTACAAATAAACTGGCCAGACATGGCCAAGTGGTTAGGGCGCAATCTGAGAGTCTCGGGTTCGAATCCCCGTCCCACCAAACATGCTCGCCCTTTCAGCCGCGAGGACGTAATAATATGACGGTCAATTCCACTATTCATTAGTAAAAGAGTAGCCCAAGAGTTGGCGGTGGGTGGTGATGACTAGTCTTTCACTGCTAAACTAGGAACGTCTAGCGCAGATAGCCCTCGTGTAGTTTTTGCACGAAATTCAACAAACAAACAAATAAACTATGAAGGGCATCTTCCAAATTCTGAATTTTACTGCTGATTGGTCGATAATATTAAGCGTTGTAAGTCCACAGACATAACGCTGTGCCACTGGGAAAGGGGGAGGGGCAAATGCCCTTTATAATATAAAGGGGGGAATAATGTATAAACACATTGATGAACCGAACTTGTAGTGCTTAATTATTCGAGTGTTAGTAGCAATTGTTTTTATCATGGCGAGATCATAACTTACATTAATAAAATAAAAAATATTAATAAAAATCATAAAAAACACGTGACAAGATTTTCGTGACCTAGCATAATAATGTTTGTTTTTCATGTAATCAAGATTAAATAATGGCCTGGTGGCTAAGGCGCTCGACTTGCAATCTCAGTGAGGGGGCGCGGGTTCGAATCCCCTTCACCGAACATGCTCACCCTTTCAGCTATGGCGACGTTACAATGTAACGGTCAATCCCACTATTCGTTGGTAAATACGTAGGCGGTGGATGATGCCTTCCCTCTAGTCTATCACTGCTAAATTAGGGACGGCTAGCGCAGATAGCCCTCTTGTAGCTTTGTGTGAAATTCAAAACAACGCAAATCAGGGTTACATAATGATTTTGATTTTATTTCTAGTATTTATTTATTTGTCCACGAGAGTGATAGATTATCCCCAACCTGATTACAGTTTTCCGATCAACTGATCCGTTTTTGCTTTGTTTAACAAATATTTTGGTAGAGTTTGTGATTGTATTCAATTAACTCTACTGCATACTTCTGAATAAGTGTTTGTGTACCTTAAATAGTACAGGTTTTGCGATTAGTAAAAACAGGATACGAGTCACGTGATTTTATACTAAATTTGGCGCGATGCCTAACAAGTTACGAAGCATTTCTTGTACAAGTGTAGTTATAAGCGTGTCCGATAGGAGGTGATCGTCTTTCACAGCATACTTGAGTTACAAATAACGTATGACTTTATTATTAGACGAGGACAGTTTGTTATATGATTGATTGACACATAGAAGTTCAGAAGGTTAAGGCTCACTTATGTAAAATTTTGTTTCCACGAAGAATATTGGCTTGATTGAGTTGTTTGGAACAAGGGGCTTGTCTGTGTGATATAGAACGATAGATCCAGAATGTTAATATTTTTAGCTGTAAGTGGGGCATTAGGTTTAGTTTTAATCTGGTGGAGTTGATTGACACAAGGGGCTTGTCTGTGTGATATAGAACGATAGGTCCAGAATGTTAATATTTTTAGCTGTAAGTGGAGCATTAGAGCTCCACTTACAGCTAAAAATATTAACATTCTGGACCTATCGTTCTATATCACACAGACAAGCCCCTTGTGTCAATCAACTCCACCAGATTAAAACTAAAGTTAGGTTTAGTTTTAATCTGGTGGAGTTGATTGACCAGATACGGAAATATTGTGACTTTATTAAGTCCCAGTAAATTCACTTTTTAGCTGTAAGGGGAATATGAAAATAATGTTTTGGCCTAAAGTAAGTCAAGGAACAGGTCAAATGAAAATTTCACCAATTTTTACGTGACTAAAATGGTGGCTAAAAGTCGTTTATATTTATTGTAGTTTTTTTTAGAGTGTACAAACAAAAAATATCAATCACATTATCTTAGTTTATTGAGAAGATACAATGCCCAATGTTTTTAAAGTGAAGAGCATAGCTTAGATTGTCGACGTTTTAATAACTTGTGAACACGTTGTCAACGTATTAATGATAACAACAATTTTGTTTTATTTGAAACAGTCAATATATTTACGGCAACAATAGTTTTGTTTACTTGCAACAGTTAATATAGCTATGGCAACAATATTTTTGTTTACTTGCAACGGTTAATATAGCTATGGCAACAGTATTTTTGTTTACTTGCAACAGTCAATATAGCTATGGCAACAATATTTTTGTTTACTTGCAACAGTTAATATAGCTATGGTAACAAAATTTTGTTTACTTGAAACAGTCAATATATCTATGGCAACAATCTTTTTGTTTACTTGCAACAGTCAATATAGCTATGGCAACAATATTTTTATTTACTTGCAACAGTTAATATAGCAATGGCAACAATATTTTTGTTTACTGGCAACAGTCAACATAGCTATGGCAACAATATTTTGTTTACTGGCAACAGTCAGTATAACTATTGCAACAATCTTTTTGTTTTCTTGCAACAATAGTTTTGTTTGCTTTCAAGAGTCAACATTTTTATGGTAATAAAGTTTTAGTTTACTTTTTACAGTCAGTATAGTTATTTTAACAATGTTTTAGTTTACTTGTAACAGTCAATATATTTATTATAACAATATTTTTGTTTACTTGCAACAGTATATATATATTTATTTGAACAATATTTTTTGTTTTCTTGCAATACTTCATAGGCCAATCAATAGTAACTACACTACTCACAAAAATTATAAGATTGTGAAGTTTGATATGTTTTTGAAAACTTGAAGAAGAAAAACACAAAGAGATGTTCTGTACTGACGAAACGTGTTTATTACAAAAATGACAGGTAAACAATACCAAGCAAGTCGAAAAATTCATTTACAAATAACAAAAAGCAAACATGACCAAAAATGCCAATATTTGGCTGTACAAATATCAAAGAAAAAACTTATTAAGATGAACAAACTTAACAAAATGAGTCGTTTGTAGCTCGTAGGTCCTTCTCTATTATTTCTCTGTACCTGTTCCTCACACTGGCCATCCCCG